ACAGGGAAGGAGAATGACCAGCAACAGCTGGAGGATGCTCTGAATATCTAAGTACTACTCCAGGTACCAATTACTCTTCAGGAAAGGAGATCACAGAAGAGGAGGTGGAGCTGAGATATTAGGGAGGATTTCTAGCAGGTCCATTGAGAGCAAAGCCTAGAGAAAAAGTTGAATTTGGCTCATGGAGGAACAAAAGAGAAGGAACCAGAAAAGAAGACAGCGTCTGAACCAAGTCAGGGAGCACAGTCAGTGTGAACAGTCTGCCTGAGCCCCACAGTGTGTGGAGGCACTCTCCCACTCTTGAGCTGTTGCTCATCTGGTTGATGCCAACTATCACCTCCCAATAATCAGAGCCTGGATCATCTCTCCCTTGGGCCATCTTGGTTGGTCCTGACTCTGGCCAGGTATTACACACAGTAGCTACAGTCCAAGAAAATGTAAGAGACAAGCAGTAGAACAACCTGCAATGGAGACTTGCCACCTTTGTGTCCCTGATACACTATGCTTGGACTGAACCTTGGACACCAGGACCTTCTCAAAGAAAGCTGATCTCTGCACTGATGAGCTATCAGTGATACCTCCAATCTGCATGACTTGGTATGGCTCTACTGAGGCACTGTTAAGGCACAGTGGGTTTCTGGGACAATGTTGAAGACTCTGGACCAGGCGTTTAAGTTATGCCCCAGGTAACATGTACTTCCAGAAGTCTAGGCTTGCAACATCACTCAAAGCATGAATGGAGCCCACAGCTTTGGAACCTCCTTTGTCTTCTCCCCCCATCACACACACACATATACACACACAAAGCAAAAATCTCCTTCTCACACTGAGGAAGGCCTGATTCTATGGCTGGAGAGGAGATTAAATTTGAAAACATTTCCTGTTTTGTTTCCATAGCACAAATTCCCTGTCAGGACAACTGGTTCTGGGCCTGTGACTCGGTGTACTTATGCTCTGGCTCAGTCCAGAAATTTCTTGGTGATAAAGGAGCAGTTAACTGCACTACTTATTAAAGGCAATGATGTTCTAATATTCTAATATCATGGGTGAAAGAGCCAAAAATAGGTTCAGCCTGAGAGCAATGACCTCACTCATGGCCCACACAGTATAGTCAGATTGGGGTTGTCGTTGCATCATTTGATTGGCACCCACAGGCAGCCCTCACAGTGCTGCCCGGCCCTCCGGTCTCAGAATCCGTCTCTCCTGAGTACACAGACAGGGGCAGAGGAGGGAGGCTCTGGGCCTCTGGAGGTGGCAGGCTTTAGGGCATTGCATTGCTAAGAGGTTTTCTACTTTGTTCTGGAGCCCCCGGTGGATAAGAGCGCCAACTCCAACCCTGGTAAATTGCTTATCCCCAAAGGATCTAAAGACTCATTCCAGGCTCGTCACTGCACTAGAAATGTTTTGAAATACAGAGATGAATACAGTAGGTACCTGGTCCTCTGATTGTCACAATAAGCATCTTAACTAAGGAATTGTTGAGATCCATGGACGGATGTCAGATGCTTCATAGCCTCTAGAAGTTCGGTGCAAAATCTGCTGGATGTTTGTAGATTTTTATAGTAAGAGGATACTAACACCTACCAGATCACCAAAGGGCTTTGTATCCTCCAGTTTTTATATATTCTGCTAACCTGTAACCATGGATACAAAGTGGTGGAAGACTCTTAAGTAACAAAGCTGGCTTCTATCTGGTTTACTGCCCCAACATTGACTTTGTAAGTGGTCAGTTAGCAGACTCCTGTGATCAGGGTATCACTCCCTCAGTGGGAACATGTACCCTGTGGAAGATCAATTAGAAGTGCTTTGGCCAAATTGAAGGGCTGGCCCTCACTTCCTGAAAATGCAGTGTCATGAGTCACTAATCTCTATAGTGTTTGTACAAGCATTCCAGTTTTTATCCTACTCTAGCAGTATGTTCAAAAACAAGCAAGTTGAATCAGTTGTGTAATGCAGCCAATCCTACTGTTTCTATCATCAGTGTGAAGGGCATAGATTGCCACGTGGTGGATTTGGTCACTGTAATCGCTGCTGTATGGAAAGGACTAGGTTGGCTGTACTATATCCAACTGGGCTATGATGTCGCTTTCTGAGTTGGCTTATTACAGTTCAGAGCACCATTTGGCTAACTGTCATTTGGTCTCATTGTGTATACACAATCTAATTTTTAAAAATTTGAATTTAAGCAAATCTAAAGTTTGTTTTTGTTGTGGGAGGGGCATTTTTTTTCTTTCCTTTTTTTTTTTTCATTATCACTGAGGATCTGGGGGAAAAGTTGCCTGTGAGAACTAGCCTCTACATTACTAAGTAACTTTTTTGCGATTGTGTATACTCTAAATTCAGAAGATTATCTAGCCTAATTTCATAGCTTGTAGCTTTCCTGAGTTCAGAGAGGGTTAATTCCATACCTAGAATGGGATTGCTTTTTTCTCTTTGTATGAATATACCTAATTATTTAGAGTAGTAAGTTTCTTACAGACAGTACTAGCAAAATTAGTTCATTCACTTTTAAAAGCAGTGGTATGACAACAAGTGAAAAATTTAGGCTGTGGAAAATGTAACTTGTCTTCTATTCATTCTTTCCTACATTCTAAATCAATAACTATCTCTTTCATAACTGGGTCATTACTGATGGAATAATAAAAGGTAGGGAAAGTTAACAGTTAACTATACCATGTGACTCCAGTTATGTAATATTGATTGGATAGTTGTACAAAAATTGTGTAAAATAAGCTGTGGTTGGCTGCTAAAATAATAGAAAATATTATCAGGCAGCTTTATGACCAGTGAAAAATCTAACATGACAATATAAAAATATCCACTTAGTTTATGATGCTACATTTCAAATATACATTTAGATGATAATAGGAAAGATGATTAAAGTTGGCCCAGTGACATTTTTCAGATAGATGAGAAATGAGAAATATATTCTTCCCTTCACAGCTTTAAGTTTTATTGGTATGAATTGATAGTTTCTTTGGCTGAAGATGTCAGCCAGTGATCCATGTACCAGAGC